TATACTGATCAAGAATATACATACATATATATATTCCCTCTATGCGTTACATATTTTCTTTGTAGAGTCTTCGAAGTTTTCACAAAACGTTTTTGCTTTGCAATTCATATAATTGCAACTTTTCTATTTCGATTTGATTCAATTAGTCCATGACATATCTGTTGACATTTCCCGACCATTTTTCATTTGGGGGAAACTTGTTAAGCTTGCATTGAGTTATCGCCTCAATCTGTGGCAGGCGAGTTCAATGGGTGCAGACCTTTCGGCTTATTTAGCGTCCCCATGTCCTATCTCTTTCTCACTCTATCGCTCTTTTCTCTTTCTCTCCTCCTCCTCCTCCTCCTCCTCCTCTGCCTTATGCCCAAACGCATCGAATTCATTCAATTTGGCAAAACACAAAATCGCCCAGTTGAATCTGAGGTCAAAGTGAACCGAAAAACGCAGCCCAAAGCCAAGTTGTTCGTGGTGATTTTTATACTCTGTTCACATGCAAAAGAGAGTATATTGTTTTCTTTTTTGCAAATATCTATCAAAACAGCATTCGGCGATTGTTCTTAATTTTTTTTTATGTTTCTTGCTGACATAAACCTAGTTTTCCGCATCCAAAAATAATCCACAAACAACAATAATAATATAAATATGTTTATTACACTGTGAACAGAGTATCGCACTTTCGGTCGCACCCGACCGCAAGACTCTTACTTGTTTGTGGCCTGCCATAGAACAGGAGCAGGAACTGGAACTGGAACGGCGTGAACTGGAACAGCGGGCGCAGGCACAAAATGTGTTTTGGTTTTTTGCCAAAAGTCTTCAATCAAAATGCGTCGGCAAAGTTTTAATGCACCAACTAAAATGCGGGCCGAGGTAGTTACTGGGCGTGTGGGCGTGGCCAGGCTGCTGTACAGCAGCTGTGATAAATGATGTGTCGAAAATAAATGATTATGCTTCACACTCGTCCACTTGTTGGCACAAAGTTTGCCTGTTGATGTTTTTTTTAAACTTGTGATTTTTTTTTTGGGCTCCCTTTTCGTTTGGGTCTTTTTATAATCTGAGAAAAATAATGTTTAGTTTTTTGTTCGATCAAAGAACATGTGCCCAAATAATTGTATCTTAATTCTTAATTTACATATTGGTTTATATGATACCCTACTTGTTTTGGGTATATACGCATCTTCATATTTTTTGTCCATTCCCAATAGATTTGCCGTTAACGCGAAAGTATATATATATATATCTTTCAGAGTTTTAGATCTAGATAAGTCGGGTAGATACTTAATGATCTATAATTTCTAACCCCATTTCTATATACGTATATATACATATACGACTATACGAACCTTTATATACATTTACAGTTTGACAGGAACTGTATTGGATTTTCAGCTTGAAATCACATATAGTTTATAGGAAAATTCAACAAAAAAGTTTACAATCTATTATTTTAATTTAAAGAAATACCTTTTCGGCCCATAACAAATTGTGGACATTACGTTTTCATCTAAACAGTTCAAATCCACGCGATACCCTAGTTTCATGCATTCCGAAAAGTGTGGAACACCTGGAAGTGGAATTTTTACAAAGATCTCTGGAAATGTGTTTGAGGACAATTGAATGAAAAGAAATATAATGAAGTAAAAATGTTCGCCGAGCATTTTGCGAAGTTGGGCTGAAAACATTTTTATCATAATTTTATAGAGTCCAATTTTCGCCTTTAACTTTTAATATAGAGTCCAATTTCGACCTTTAACTTTCCAGATCGGCCCAACCATCAACTCATGATGAATTATTTATATTTATCCTCTGTTTCTGCTCCAAATTGATTTGCGGCCGCATCCTTGTGGCAGCTGCCGCAATTCCAATTTAAGTGGCCAATTTACAATGATTGTGCATTAAGAGAATTTTATAGAAATGTTAAATTGTTGTGCAATTGCCGTAATTTCCGCCTTTTGCATAAGAGGCGCACTTGTAGTGCTTGTCAAACTGTCAGACACTTAGCATGACGCAGCGCGTGTCAAACTGTAGCAACAAATTTTTTATATATATTATTTCTTTCAACAATTTAGAGATTTAGCATATTTTTTTTTGACAATTTGAATGTTTAAACGCAACTACCGAAAATTTCAACAGGTTTCTTCGAAGCTAATCCGCCGGCTGCTGCTGCTCCTTGGTGAGCTCCCCAGGCGGCACAGGATTGGTGGATTTGTCGCCGGAACCCGAGCCGGAGCTCTGTATGCCCACCAGCGATGCGGATGACTCTGTATGCGGACGCAGGACAACGCTGTTGTCGCTGCTCTCGCTGCTCGAATCGCCCACGTTCAGGTCGCTGTTCAGTGCCTCGGCCGGCGGCGGTGGCGCCACAATCGGTGTGGGCGGCAACAGATTGGCCGACGCTGGCGATGCAATGCATATGCGCTTGGAGGGCGGCGGCGCCACATGACCCAGACGTGCGTTGGTGAGCGTGGTGCCCGCGGCGACAGTATCAAAGGACATCAGTTCGCCAAAATAGACATGCTGGATGACCGGAAACTTGGACAGAATCTGTTGGGTATTCGGACAGTACACAGATTAGGTGTGATACGTTTGGGGTTTAGAGTCACGAACAAACCTCTTTTTGGTACATCTTGACCAGGCCGGCATTGATTTTAATCCAGGAGGGCACCGCTGTAATGCTCCACAGCTGATTTGAGTGCTCGCCAAAGTGGCCCGTCTTCACCTGGCAGATGTAATCAATGCAGCTGATGAACATGTACTGCTCCTTGAAATCATTGATGATCTGCTCGTCGACAAACTTGGCCGGATCGAAGGGACTCTTGACTGCAATAAACACAAAAATCAGCAAATCAACAGGGGCATGGAGCAGAGGGATAATCGAAGGCACGCACCCGCCAGCTGTGCGCTGCCCCAAATGAAGGGCACAAACTGAAAGTCGTCCAGCGACCAAACGCCCTGACTGCCCGCCGGCTCCATGTTGTAGGTGCGCTGCAGTTGACGTGCAAACTCCAAATAGCGCTTGAACAGGCGCAGCGCAGCGCTCACAATATCCTGCTCCAGCAATATCTCGGCCTTGAACAGGGCGCACAAAAAGAAAATAAACGATAGCTCATGCCCGGTGCCATAATCAATGCGTGTCGCATTGCCAAAACTCTCCAGCAGATACTGCAGCAATTCATTGTGATATTTGTGCTTGGCGGCGGGCAACAGCTGCGCCAGCAAACCGGGCAGCTGCTCGTGCATGGTGCGCGACCAGTCCCGATAGGCCTTGTTGCCGAAACGTTGCGGTTGCTCCAGCGGCGGATGCTCCTTGACCAGCTGGGCCAGCGAATCGAATAGCCCCAACAGTTTGCGCAGCACATCCGATTCGTACATCTCGTCTGTCGTCTTGATGCCCTGTATGGCCGAGCTGGTGCCATTGATATAGCCAATTAAATCGTGATAGGCACGGGAACGCTGCCATTGCGCCAGATCTGCGGCATTGTGCACTCGCTTTTCGGTAGCCGGCGATTTGCCTGAAAGCGTACAAATAATGGTTATTTTTGCAGGTGTATCTCGGCGCTTGTGTTGCTCTGCTCACCGGCTGCCATTGCATTGGCATCCGCCATGCTTTTTGGGCGTTGTTTATTTGTGGTTTTAACTGAGAATTACGTTTTTGTTTTTGGAGAAATATATATAGACGCAAGTGTGACCGCGATTCCTAAACAGCTGTCGGTGCAATGTGACCATCTTGGCGAATTATATCGCAAAAGTGTTGCGTATTCCAGTTCATTTGGTAAAGTAGTTCACTCATTTGGTTCACTTCAACTCCAATTGGAAATACCAGAACGTGTGCCATGTGTCCCTTGTGTTGCATATTCTAATTGGCTTATAAATAACTCAGCGCGCACTTAGTGAGAGTTCCTATTAGACCAACATATGTTAATGCAATGTAACCATCTGTGTGCTGTTTACGGCTGTAGGTGAGCATTTACCGATTAATTAAAACGAAACTATGTTCAAATACACTGGTAAACATTACAGTTAATTAAATAGTGCATATTGCATATTCTAGCTCTTTTAAATATAGTTCAAATACCGACTCGCTCACTTAGTTTCGATAGGCGCTTCGCTTCTATCGAACTTGTTCAGAACCGAACTACACAACGTCAACAAAAAAAAAACGCCTACGCCGGCTTTTCATATACGTGAATAAAGCTAAGTTAATTTCTTGCCCAATTTAAGCCAGCAAAATGCTAGAAGCACTGTACAACCTGCCATTTCACATACTCGTGCCGCCCAACATCAAAGTGCGACGCATTTCCATACCCATGCCCTCGCCCATGGCCGTGTTTTCGGTTGTGCTGCTCTCCTACTTTCTGGTCACAGGCGGTAGGTGCCATCGATATATATACACAAATAAATAGAATAGGTTAATTGAGTTAAATATGCTGTTTGCAGGTATTATCTATGATGTGATTGTGGAGCCACCGAGCGTGGGTGCGACGGTGGACGAGCACGGACACTCGCGTCCCGTGGCCTTTATGCCATATCGCGTGAATGCCCAATACATTATGGAGGGCCTGGCCAGCAGCTTTCTCTTCACGATTGGCGGCCTGGGCTTTATCATAATGGACCAGACCCATGCGCCGGGCAAAACGAATCTCAACCGACTGCTGCTAACAGCCATGGGCTTTATATTCATACTGGTTTCATTCTTTACAACCTGGCTGTTCATGCGCATGAAGCTGCCCAGCTATTTGCAGCCCTAAACCATATCCAACATAAGAACAAAGGTCTCTGTCTCTCTTATTAGTATTATAACTTGTATTGCACATTAAAATTGTACATGATATGTGTAAATTGTGAATTGCAACTCACGTACAGCTCACACACACGCAAAAGCTCTGTAGGCCCAAAGCTCTTCTAAGGCAAAGTAAAGCGTTTCAGGCAAAAGCTCACTAATACAACTACACGCACTAATACTCATGCACTTTGGCATATGCAGCGCCTAGGCTAGTCCGATTAGTCGGCGGCATTGCAAACAATTTGTTGGCGTCCCAGTGCCAAAATAGTTTTCAGTTTGTATTGCGGCGCCCGAGCGTGCACAACGATCGCGTTGAAAACATATATTCTATATATAGAATTATAGAAAATCTATTTTGGTTAACAAAAAATATTTGCCAAACGCCCGGAAAAAGTCAAATATAACGCAGTTAAATAGAAATCAAATTCAAATATCTATCTGTCTAACAAGTCGACAAGCATTGAGATAATTTATTAAGCTCTATCGACTCGTGTTCCAAGTGATGTAACAGACTTTGGCCCAGAGACGAGCGACAACTGGTTGAAGAAGCAGCAGCAGCGGTTTGGCAACTGCGTCGCAGTTTGTTTACAAAACAAATCGTTTTCCATCCGCAGAACATGTCCAAAAAGTGCAGCGTACGCTCCTTGAGCGACAGCTCCCTGGCAGAGCTTGCCAATTTGCTGGTGTCCACAATTAGCTATGTACAATATGCGCCCGATGTCCATCTGGACATCAGCATAGTGATGGTCGAGCTGAACGAGTATTTGGCCCAGGCGGGCGCCACATCCAATATCTACCAGGATTTGCTGCGCGTCATACTTAGCTCCGATTATCTGGAGGCCAATATGCGTTTCACCTGCCTGCAAATGCTGCTCAATTGCGGCGTTCATTTTCTGGTCACCGAGGTCTTTCCGCCCAGCTACTATGAGAAGATATTGCAGGTGATTGCCGCCCAGGGCGCCGGGCTGCGTGTCCTGAATCTGAAGGGTATTTGGGTGAAGGACGATCACATGCACTATATGTACGAGATAGTGCGTCGTTGCAAGCAGCTAATCAAGCTATATGTGCCCTATATAGCCAACGATCAGCTGCTGGAGGAGATTGCCGCCAACTGTACACGCCTGCAAATATTGGATATATCGGGCGAAACGGATATCACAGAGATTGGCATCGATTGGCTGGCCAAGGGCGCCTGCGCACAGTCGCTGACAATTGTCGATGTGGGCATGCCCGGCGAGGAGAACATTTGCTATTCGGACATAGCGCTAATCCTGGAGAATTGCCACCACGTGGAGACACTGTCCACCTACTCCTTTGTGGGCGCAGCGCTCAAATTCATACACGATCACATTGACAGCAGCTTCCAGTGCCGCCTGAAATATGCCCACGATACGGCCACAGATGAGGCCACGCTGAATGTGATGATGCAGACATGTCCGCAGCTGGAGACACTCTATCTGGACTCACCGAAGCTGGGCGCATTGCGCGCCCTGCAGACACGCACGTTGCGCAAATTTAAGATATGTAAATTTGTTGTCGCCGAGCTGCTGTCGCTGTTGGAGCGTCCGATTGGACGCAATCTGCGGCATCTGACCATGATCAAGGGCACCGGCAATCTGGAGCTGGGCAAACTGGCGCGCCTCTGTCCGGCTCTCATTGATCTCGACTGCTATGTGCTCGAGAGCCTATCGTATGCCCAGACGAAGGCGCGTTTCCAGCAGCTGGAGAGCCTCGAGATACTCAGCTGCGACATGATGACCAGCTCCCTGAAGGCGTTCCTCTGCAATACAACGGACCTAAAGCGTCTCGCCGTGGATTCTGTGGACTTTAACGACGAGGATATAGTTAGGTTCGGTATGTTGTATAAATATTGTTATTAATATTCTAACATGTACATTCCTGAAGCATGTTTGTGCAGCACGATTTCAAGGTGCTGGAGGATATTTGGTTTACGCTGGCGCCAGAGCTCACTGTACAGGCCGTGGAGGTGTGTACTCGTAACTATTCTGTCACTGTCCTTTCCCCAACTGGTCTTCATCTTATTATTATTGTTGCAGCTTCTTATGGACAGCTGCCCGGAGCTGCAGTCTGTCGGCCAATTGACCGGCTGGTCGCTGTCGCCGGATGATTTATCGTTAATTCGGGGACTGCTTAAAAGTGGCAATTCTAGCCTTGTACTGACTTCAAACGGTTTAATGGCCTGAAACATTGTTTGTTTATTATTTGCCCATTAAAATGCAAGTGACAATTGTTTTTATGCCTTACACTCTTTGCATACTTTGCAACTGAATATCTGCTCTTTGCAGCGCCTTTACTTAACGAAAACTGACATGCAACGACGCCGCATGGAACAAATATTTTTATAATAATAATAATCTAATTAAATCTTGTAAATTGTTTTGTGATATTAAAGTAATAAAAGTTTGTTGTTTTTAAATTTTAAAAGCTGTTTATTCGACCGAGTGTGACCAAATTTCCCGTAAACAGTATGTTTTTGAGTATTTTTTGTTGTTTGCTCTCACAGCTGTAGCACAGGGCTGTCATGACAGCACAGTTATTTATATACATTTTTCATAAAACATTTATGACTTAAAAGCATGCCGAAACATTACAATCAAAACAAATTTAGTAAAAAGCTGTTTTCTTATATTTTGGATTTCGTTTTTCGCGCAACTAGCTGTTTAATTAAATGCAGCTTATGTCAGTCGTGCCGCTCGACAACCCTGTGCACGACATATACTTTTCATGCGCACAAAAAAAAAAGAAGCGAAAAAACGCAGCTAAGAATTTTGCAATAGTCGAAAGCAAGAATTTATCAACGAATCTCATATTAGTCTAGTTAAAAAACAATCGCATTTAATCAAAAACAATTAATTTGCACGCACCGTCTCAAGCGTACGCAGTGACATTAAATGAAAACTATGAATAATTATAAAAACAAAAAGAAACAACTTCCGCAGACGTCAGCAGCAGCGCCCCAGCAGAAGGAGAAGCAGCAGCACCAGCAACCACATCAAATTTATTAAAAGGCAAACAAAATCTCAAGCACCGTTTTCAATATGCAAAACGAATCTCATTGCAACAATTTGTAGCTGTGCGTAGTGCGAGGTGGCGTTTCATTTGTTTACTGCGCCTTGTCGTTGTCATGCATTTTGTCACACAACAGCGGCAGCAGCAGCAACAACAACAACAACAAACAAAGCAGCAACAAAACTCAACAGCAGCAGCAACAACAACACGCCTTGTGTCCCTTTGCAAATCTTCCAGCCAAGGCGCTCTGCCCAAAACCTTGGCCACTGCGCAAAGTCTACTCAAGCAATCCCCACAACAGCCGCAACAACAACAACAACAACAAAGGCACAAACGCGCCGCTAGCCTCAATCTGCACTCCACGCCCATGTAAGTCTTCAGTAAATGTTACGCCTTTTGCCCAAAAAAAACGAAAACGAAAAAAAAATAAAAACATGTTTGTTCTACTTTTACTTGAACTACTTTTAGCTTGAAAGTTAATATATACATATATATACATACATTTGGTGTAGGTTTTTCTTGCTGATTTGCATGTTTAACAGTTACATTTGCCCGCTCCTAATTTGCATGTCTTTATTTGTTGTTGTTGGTATTCCTTTTACCATAGTAAGTGCTGTTCGTATTCGTCGCGTTATCAGTAAAATGGCAAAGAGATAATCCACTTTCAGTGTGTACATATCAGTTGGTGCATTTAATTTACAATTCCAATTGCATGAGATAATTTCCAATGTATACAAATAAGTTGGCGTGATTCCAATTGGAATCGAATGGGCTGCAAACATATTTTGAATTATAAACCAATTTTGAACATCGCCAATTAACTTTGTACAAAAAAACTCTTTTGTTAACTAGAATACATTTATTTAAATACCATACAGTTTTTTCTTATCAAAACAAGTTTTATTGTGTACAAAATTTTGAATATTTCAACTAAAATCGCAGGACGAGTATATCATTTTTGTTCGATATCTCTTCCCCTCGTCCTTAAATACCGTTAAAAATTAATTTTGAGAAATAGTTATTTGAGCATAACTCGAGGATTATAAGAGCTATATATGTACAACTTGGTATGTTGGTTCTTTCAAAGTATATACAGATGGAAAATGTTTCCTTTTTTGAATACCTTCCCTTATTCCTTCAAAAAAATGAAAAATATGGTATATACACACATCTGTATACTATATTCAGTCCTTGAAAATTTCACATAGCTCGGAATTCAAAGACCTCATTTAATCAAGAATGGATAGTTTGGGCAGGAAGAAGCACATTCGCTGCTTAGAAGGAAGCTAGAATGTTTGTAACGGCAACGCTCAGGGTATGTCCTAGTCGGGCACTCCCGATACGATTGTTTTAATATGCTTATATTTGTGGTTAATCAATTAGTAATTATTCCATGTATTTATGTCTGTGTTATGCCACATTTCACGCTGAAATGATAAGCTTTACTTTAAGAAACAGACCTTCTGGATTCGTTGCTTCACAAGCAGGCAAAGAAATATGTTCCCAGAACTTAAAAAAAAAACCAAGTTCCGAGAGAAACGAAAATGATTGGCAAAGTATAATGAATAATAAAAACAAAAGCTCTTAACGTAATTAACATTTAACACAATTTTTTTTAGATTTATTAAAACTGAAGCATATTTCTCAATCGATATGTATATGTATATATATATATATATATATATATATCTGTTCAAAACAAATTAGGGCAGAAAATGGTTGGGTTCATTTTTGAAATAATAGTTTTTTTTTTATCACAAAAAAGAAGGGAGAACAGCTTAAATTAGACAACGTTTATCTTAGGCCATCCCAAGTTTAAATAACCTGGTAGAATTATGTCTTATGGTTTTGCAGATATGTGAGTTTGTGGCAGATATCTTTAAAGATAGAAACATTCTCCATTAAGAAACATATCTTTTTTAATGATTCTTTCCATAAAACTAGATGATATAGGTAGAGGTAGAGGTTGACTCTATAAGGGGCAGGTTTAGTTAGGATTTTCTTCAAAACATAACACAGATTTTTCAAGCATGGACTTTATTTGCCAACAATTGTCCCTTGAGCAGCTACATATATATTATATAGAGCTTCGATCCGGTCCAAGGCGACAGCAGAAAGACGGAGCTAGGCCAGGTTTAATTAAGACGGATCTGAAACTGAGAACTTGATGAGAAACAGGAAGAGAGAGATAAACCCTTGATGTTGTCTAGGAGTTAAGCCTAAGACATGACCTAATTGTGATACCCTCTAAAGAGTATACAGAGTTGCGCAACAGTTGCGTTGGCTTATTTGCTAAACGGATTTTGCGCAAAATTCCGACCGAAACGCGACCAGCGAAGCGTACAAAACACAATCTCCATAGCCGACTCTTGCACTCACAGACATATATATATATATGTATATATATTTATATATTATATATACATATATATATATGTGTATAGTTGTCATTGTTGTTATTTTATTTTGCCGGTCGTGTCGGGCAATTCACGGCGCGTTTTTCGAGTGCAAATTCAAACGTCGCGCTGAAATGACGCTCGCGCTCGCGTCCAGCTCTCGACATCGCGTGAGAAGACAACAAACGACCGCAGAATAAAGTCAAAAAAAAAATATATTAAATTAATTAAATAATTAACGAAAGTAGGGCCTGACTGTTCCACATAATATATTAATGGCGCATATTTGCCAAATGCTAAATGTGCTAAAAATATATGAAAAGCCATCTTCCGCCCCGTCCCCGTCCCCTTCTCGCTGCCGCTTGTGCTGTGTTTCGTCATCGTTTTTCCAATGATGACATACTTTGGGTGACCCGTCGTGCATGACCCACAATAAAAACAATAATATTGGCAACAACAATTGCTTCGGAATCAACTAAACAGCGCGACAAAAAGGGAAACCAAAAAAAAATGTAAGTTTTAGTTTTGTCTTTCTATATGTGAACCCCTTAAAAAATGGCTAAAAAGGGTATATTGTTTAGGTGCAAATGAATGTAACAGGCAAACGAAAGCATCTGCGACGACCTAGGGTATACATATATACATATCTGATCAGCAAGTCCATCTGGAAACTAGAAACTTAAAATTTGGCATAAACTTTCCTTGACAGCTCGTTCCATCTTCATAATATCGATTAGAATGTGACTTTATAAATTTTTCGATAACTTAAATCGATAATAATATCAATTTAAATGATTTTGAGAAAAACTACAGACTTGCAATTTGACTTTATCATTATTTTGATCGATATCTCATCGAATTTAAATAATATCGATTATGCGAACAATTTGAAACTTTTAACTTAACTCAAACATTTCTTCGATTTTCATATCAATAAAAATTATTTTAAGATATTCTACATCTCGTCCCAATATATAATATCGATATTTATCGAATTTGAAAAACAAGAAACTTAAAATTAGACTGAAATATTTTCTTCAATAGCTCATCCCATTTTTATAATAATCGATAACAATCGAAATTTCTATTTTTATAATATGGATAAAAATTGATTTTGAGAAACGCTAGACTCCCAAAATAAGACTTAAACATTTGCTTCGATATATAATGTCTCATTTTCATAATAGAATAATCGATGAAAATCGATTTCGGGTAATTTTACAGATTTTAAATCTATCATTTTTTTTCTCGATATCTTGTACCGTTTTTATAATACCAATAAAAGTCGACTTTGAGATCCTTCAAATTTGAGGCTATTTCATATCTCATTTTTTTTGTATCGATAACAATCTATTTTGAGACATGTTCGTTTTTAAATCACTTAAGCCCCGAAAGTTTCGTAAAGATCGGACTATAAGCACCGAAGTTGTTCACGAAGGCGCAGTAAACGGAAGCTAGACTTCTTTTTGAAGATATATCTTTGTACCTTGGTATTTACACACATTCTGATGTCATGTTTGTGTAGTGAAAATTTCATAAAGATCAGACAGTGAAAACCCGAGTTATGCAGGAACGCATTAACGATAGAGTGTTTTTTTTTTAAATCCTTTTTGTAACTTCTCGAACTCGGGCCTTAGGGTATCTGCTAGTCGTGTTCTTTCGATTTGAGCACTCTGAACGTTTTCTGTTAGTTTTATTTGTATTGATTTTTAATTTTTCTTTTTCTTATATATATTTTTTTTTGCTGCAACTGGTTTTTTTGTTGTTTCTGCGGGTTATTTATTACCGTTATGTTTTTATTTCTTCCCCCCTTGCGGGGTGTTATAATTGCCCAACTCCTGAACTGTCCAGCTCGCGCCCTGTGTCTCCATCTGGATTTCCAATTAGCTCTAAACATATAATCTGTATGCTTATTAATTGTTATTGTTGTCAGATGTCGTTGCGCGCATGTTGTCTCACCTTTGAGATACGCCCCCCGCCCCGCCCCGCCCCTTGATACCAACCCACTCTG